GAAGAGAAGGGGAGAAGAAGAAGGAAGGAAGTTGTCTTCTGTGATCTCTGACCTTCCTTTGAGCTTACGTAGATATATGGAATGGAATATCTTTGGCCAATTTTGCTGTCCGTCTAACTCAGCCTCCTACGGGGGGGTCACAGATCTCCCCATAGTGTCTGAGCCGGCAGAGTGCAGGTGCGGCCTTGAAGCCTCAGTAGTTAGAAAAACATTCCAGTGTCTTATCAGCCTAGCAGAACACACTGTTGCTAGTTACAAGAGAGCTTACTGAAGGAAAAAAAAAATTAGTAAAAAGAAAAATTGGCTTCATCCTGGCTCAAACCAGGACAGTATGTCACACTAATGATACTTAGCTTTTTGACATTTATAGTGATATGTGCATTGAAATGTAAATTTTAGCATAGTGTTAATGGTTTCATCGGGTTTTGTGGGTTTTTTTTAAACAACCTAGTCACATGAAAAATGTTAATTTTTTTTCTTCAGCTGACATCTGAAATGTTTGAAGCTGATCTGGAAAAAGCATTGCTGCTAAGCAAGCTGGAGTATGAAGAGCACAAAAAGGTATTTTGAGGATTCATCCTAATGTAAAAGCTGTACAAGTTGGGGCTTTAATATTAAAAAAATACCCAACACCTAAAGTACTGTTTTCTTAAACTAAATTGTTTGCTTACTCTGTTCAGATGTTTAAAGAGTTCACAGAAATACCAGATTTGAAAGAAACCGTATATAATAGTATTGGGTGGTTTGGGTTTGTTTGTTGTTTTTTTTTAATTTGCCTGGAAAGGTTGGAAATTATCTTTACTTTTCTAGTTTTCTGGCATATAGATGTGCTGACATTTTTTAGGAGTACAAGATATCCCAGCGTTCCTCAGGAAAAATCCAGTACATTTGAAGAACAAAATTATCAAAGCACTGACTTTTCTTTAGGCCTTGAAGTGTTAGTTGTGTTTGAATAATTTCCATTTTTTATATCTTTCTTGTGTTCTGAGTGTAAATATTGTAGTTGTTACAAGCTGTATACATTTTCTTTGCTGGTCAAGATGCTGTTTTCTGAGCTGTTCTTATGGAACACTAAAAAATGGTTCTGAAACAGTATGCTTGTATAAATTTTTTATTTCTACCAGGAGGTTGTTTCTTATTGGCAATATATCAGGAGCCAGTGAACTTACGAAAATATGCAAGTTAAAATGTAATTATACATAAAAAAGAAATAAAAAAAATTGCACATCTCCTTTTGTGCAAAAATGTCTGTACAATACTTCATTTTTTTTGAGGGCCAAGAGAATTTCAAGTTCTTGAAAACCAAGGATAAATTTCCAACTTCCCTACTAAAAGTTCTTTTTTAAAAGTGAAGACAAACTTCAGGCATGGTAGCATAGTATCATTTGTAGATTTTTGAGAATTTCCTATGTATAATTTAACTGTATATTCAAAATATACAGCAAATGAGTATGCTGAACAGATCTTGTTTCTATGGAAAGAAAAGCACTCTGTTTTTCTTTGCTTTCTATATATTTTTTCTTTAAATTATTTACATAGAAGGCTACTTTTAATAATAATTAAAGTATTTAATATTTTAGGTTATTTTTAATAACTGTGACATTGATAATTTGCTAAGAATGTTATTGTAGATGTGTGGGAAGGTGAGACTCAGGTACAAATGGCTATCCTGTCTAATTTCGCTGGGAGTAAGATCAATTGGTAAGAATTTATTTCCACATTTTGGAAATAAAAAGAAGGTACAATAGACCTTTGTTTTTTTAAAGAAAGCACTAACCTTCATTGTGTAGTGCTCTGCCTTCCTGTGTTTGACTACAGTATACTCTCAGTTTCTGAGTTTCTGTATAATATTTTATGTAGGTGATTGATGAGGTGTTAGGTTGGTAGCTCATTCTCTCTTTAGTGAAGAGCAATGCTCTACTTCAAAGAATAGAATTGATGCTGAATTGCTGATATGTCTTGCATTCTGTAAACGAGTTTGAAGCCTGTAAATTACTGCTCAGGCTAAAAATTTCCTTTACATTATTGCTTTTTTTTTTTTTTTTTCTTCATGTAAAGCTTCATGAAAAAATATTTGGGTATTGAAGAAAATTATACCAGTGGGACTTTATTCTTCTAGGAATATGAAAACGTTGAAAATACTTCACCTCAGTCAAAGTCTCTGAATAAGAAAAAGAACCAGCAAGGAAAAGACAAACCTCTTACTGTGTCTCTGAAAGACTTCCAATCAGACAGTAATATAGGTATGCCTTATCCATACCATATGAGCTGTTCTACTTGGAATTGTCACAGGGAGTGTGCAAACAGCAAACTGCCCTTGGTCTCTGTTGATTAATACTGTGTTTAAACAGACACTAAATGGGTTGCAGGTAGTGTGTCCTACCACGTCTAAAAGCTAAGTGTTCATTATATCGTAATGGACTTATTAGATAAGCAGGAAAAAAATGAGAGGGTAAGAAAAACGTTATTTCCTGTGGTATCCCTGGGATGGGTGGGGGACTCAGACACTGGTAATTTGCCTTTTTTAAACCTAAGTGGGTTTTTTTTTTGTTTTACTAAGTTTGCACTTCTCAGCAACCAAATATCTCTGTTTCCTGGGTAATAACAAGTAACTGTTTGTCTTTCTTCCTGATACTGTCTTTTACTAACATGAGTGAATACTGAAATAAATTGTATATACTCATTATATGCATTATTTATATGTTTCACATTCCTTCATCTGTGTCTATACAGCAGAAATTCAGAGTTTTAGTAAAGAAAGCAAGGTAGATATTAGAAAAATAAGAAAGTAATTTATTTTCTGAGGTTTTCCTTTTAAGGATGTTTTTATATAAATCTACAGTATTTATGAAACACATTATTTCCAGATCATCTGAATAAAGGAAAAGGATTGAAAGTACAGCAATCTAGAAGGCATGGAAGGCATTCAGATATAAGTGAGATACATGCTATAAAAGCTTAAATAGACGTAAAAAGAAACAAACCAACAAAATCCTCAAGTGTCTGTATCAAAGGCATTGCCTTCCTCTTTAAATGAAGCAAATGAATACGGTATGATGCTTTTGATTAAATAGATCTGATAGATCTGGGAAAAAATACAGAGACTGATATACTACATAGTTAATAATCTTGGCTTCTAGTGCTTTAGTAATTACTTCTTTTGTTATGACTTTGAGAGGAGAGTGAATGTTGAAGAACTCCAATTAGATGGGATTTTCCACCCCCCACTTTTCAGAATGTCTTGTTTCAATAGCCAGCTGCATAATATATGGGTAATTTATTGATGTAATTTCTTTCTGTTCTTTTCAGATAACCTTGTCAAAAAGCATGAGGTAAGTCTTATTAAAACTCATTTAATAAAAAAACCCCAACTGTAACAAACTGATACATTTAGAAAGTAATTACTTTGGCACTTTCTGTGCTGACAGTTGACTATACATTCTGAAATGGACTGATTTTTTTCCATTTGGAAAATTCTTACAGATACAGATTTAATAGAGATGTATGTCTGCAGTTCTTGTATCTTGAGAACTTAGTATTGGCCTTCTTAGAACTATCTATTGCTGCTTCATTTTTCAGATAGTCTTTGATGCAACTGGAGGATTTAAAAGCATGTTAAATGTACGAATTGTATTACAAAATGGAGAAACAAACTAGATAAAATACTGTGATGCTATTGTGTTGTGGTGCAGTCCACACATACTGAAACATGTAGAGGGAAGAACAGATACCAGTGGAATAAATTAGTGCAGTCATAGTGCAAAATTATTTAATTCCAACTTTATGCTTTTGTGTAATCTCGTAGTCAGCTAAATGTTCACTATAAATTTCCAGGCTCTTCATTTGGTATCATATCTCTAGATGGAAGTCAATAGTATTCTCAGAACGTACAACATAAAACAATGGCTAGATTTAATGGTTTTCCATGACGTAAGCTATTTTTTAAACATGTTGATTTCTAGCTCAATATTCATTTATATATAAAGGAAGATATGTTATAGTACTTACTTTTGACAGGAACTGAACTCTTCCCATTCTTCGTTGCATGACAGAGGATTTTTCAACAGGCTGGAAGATGATGTTCACAGAATACTTGAAAGAGAGAAAAGGAGAGTCCAGCACAGTGATTACAGTGAAATTGATAACGGCATATGTCATGAACAAAACCAGGCATGTAAAACAGCAGTAATTCTGAAGAGAAGTTTGGCTATGGACCTTATTCAATGATCAGAAAGAAACATCTGAGTAGAAGAAAGCACAAATCAAAAGCATGATAATTTTAAAGAATTAAAAAACCTACAACACTGTAATATTCTTATGTAGTCAAAGAGGTATTTAAAATACTTGTTTTTTGATTAAAAATTTATTTATGATGGAAATAACCTTTGCTTCACACAAAATGCCAATATTTATTACTGTATTTCTTACCCTTTTGATATCTACACATGTATACCTCTTCAGTTTTGATGAAAAATTCTTTTCTAGCTAACGGGAATTGAAGTCATATGACTAAATTAATAAAACGTGATGTTTTCTTGCTTGTAGGAGAGTGTTTTGAAAGGTGGTAAAACTGAACAACTAAAGCTTGAGCTTGAAAAGAAAGATGCAGAAATTGAGCAACTGAGAAATAAAGTAACTCAGTGGGAGGTATGTAGCTGACTATATCATCAAATAGGAGACAAAATTTAACATTATTGTAAGTTTGAAACAAAGTATTTATTAAAATGTAACTAATATGTAGTGATGCTTTAGGCTGGCAACAGTTTATGTATTTTCAGAACAAATTATTTCTTCTATACCACACAAAGCAATCTTTCTTGGTAAGTCATTAAGCATCTAAAAATAATAAAAAGAATCTAGACAAAGCATCCAGAAATAAACTCTTTGGCATATTGGTTACTATTTGCTTTCTAGTATTGCTGTTTTCACAGTCAAAAAAAAAAAGTAATCTACGATAAGGCAAGATCTTGAGCAATCTCACTTGCCTTGGAAGTTAGCTCTGCTCTGAGCAGAAGGCTGGACTTTCTTGAGTCTTTTCCAACATGGTTATGTTTTAAATTCTACTCACCTAATCTTGCATTTAAGAACTACATATTTAGGGGATTTTTTGTAGATACAGTACAATATTTGAAGTGGTTAAAAAAAAAATGGTATTTTGTGAGATTTAAAATAAGTTTCTTTAAAGCTGCAGTATAACAAGAATGAAGTGCTATATTTTGTTGTATCTTTTCTTATTACATAAAAGTGAAATTAGAACGTATGTTATAACACACCAGTAAAAAATACTTGCTTTTTAATAACTATAGAATATTGGTATATTCCAGAGTAGCTAGGGAGAATGTCTCTGTCACCGTGTTTTCAGTCCATTGGATGGTATCTTAGCAAAAAGGGCAAAATTTCCATGAGGAGCTGGCATTGGAAAGAAATTGGAAATAAATTGGAAAGAAATACAGTAAACCAACATAGAATTATTTAAAATTATTTTATTACTGTTTTTATTCATTACATAAGTAGACTGAGCAGACTGACAGATTATAAGTTTTCTGATGGTTCAAAGAAGTACTTTTACTTGTAATAAAACCATAAACTTTGTTAACAGCTGTTTTCACTGGGTACTGAAGCTGAAATCCCCTGGTAAAATTTTGAAGTATAAAACCATTCATCTTTACCACTACTGGCACTTGATCACATTTCACAGAATAAACATAAAGATACTTGTGAGGTGATGGATACAGCTGATTCATTTTATTAACTTGTTCGGAGACCTTAATATGGTTTTAGGTGGCCATGAAAGGTCTGGCTTAAATGTAAGTTAATTATCCTCAAGGAATAGTATGATACTTGGAAGTGGAAGATACTGCCTTTTTTTTTTTAAAAAATAGAAGTATGTCTGAAATTAAACTTTTGTCAAGAGCTTACAAGAATGAACAGTATGAATACGCTTAGGACATGAAAAATAAGTTTACAGATAAGAGACGTGGCTAGAACTGACCCTGGTGGCCAATTAAGGAAAAGACTTGAGTTATGAAGCAAGTGTGATGATACCAGGAGAGACTGGAAAAAACCCAAAAAAGTAAGTTCTTGAGTGGTAAAATGTAAACAGCTGAAAAGAAAAAAAAAAAACTGTCAGGTAGTAACAATAACTGCTGAATAAAATAATCTGTGAAGCAGTGGAGTCTTATCCTACTTGCCAAGTAATATGGCAAACTGTTTATAGTGTCTCAGTATCTAGAAAGTGCATTATCATTGTTGTAAATTTTCAAGGGAGAAACCACAAAGTCCTTGATGCCACAGGTCTCTGTACTTCAGGCAGGCCTGAGTCGTGGTTCCTGCACTGCAATCACTTCCTTATTTTAACTTGCTCTAAGCCTTGCGCTTGCTGTTTTTTCTTGACTCTCAGCTATTAATTCACTTCTCCTGCCACATATTCCTTACCTTGGCTGTGGTTTAATCCAGATATAGATGATCTTAAAGGTTTTTTCCAATGTAAATGATTCTATGATTAGATTCTCTGCAGAAGTAATCTTCTTATGTTTATTTCATAGAAAACTTTTTTTTTTAGTAGGTTATATGTGTAATAATTTAATCTCTTCAATACAGGCAAAATATAAAGAAGTAGAAGCAAGAAATGCACAGCTTATGAAGATTATGCAAGAAGGTGAAAGTAAGTAAGAGTTGTACCCGGATACCTAAATGTTCTTTTTAGAATATAGAAGGAACTTTCAAAGTAGCTTTTAAAAAATAATCTGACTTAGTGACAGCTGTAAGGAACTATGAAGCTATTAATTTGCAGTGACTCCTTTGAACTGCAGAATTTGGTGGATAAACTGTGTTTATGTTATTATATAATGAAATAATCAGTTGTGTGTTGAAATTCTTTAACATAAACTGTTCAGTTGCATTTTAGGTACACTGATTCTTTGAGTTTGCTAGTGTCAGCTGTCTGCTCTGGACTGATCTCATCATAATATCTGCTTAGACACACTTTAGGAAACTGTTCAGTTCTTGCATCTTTGCAAACTGTGCTTTGAACAGTTGGAAGCATCATCCTGCACCAAAGCAAGTCTTTTGCCACTCAATGAATAGGGATAGCGAAACCACAGGATTATATATACAATTGTGTGATCATTTTCATCTGTTATAACACTATTCAGAATTTTTATGATTCAGAGTTTATTGTCAAAGTGGGGGAAAAATTCCATATTTACACTCACATACATGTAAATATCCTGCTATCTTTATAGTTGTTATGTGTAGTCATCCTGTAATATTCCAAATCTTATTGGTGATATTTTTTGAGTCTATAACACTAAGCCACACTAATTTGGTTTAAAAATTGCCTTTGCTTTTAGATTTCTTAATTTAGCTCTTGAATGCAGTTCCTTTTCTGGGCCAAATTTTCATATTAAAAAACAAGCTGTTTTTTGTTTTGTTTTTCCCTTTAAGAATGCTAAAAAAACCTATGTCTAAGATAGTTCAAGTGTTCGTAATGTGATCGAACATTTTAACCTGGGACTTCACTACTCCAAGCCACTGTCTGAGCCAAGATGATGTATTTTTATCTTGACACGAAAGGGGTGAATTTCTAAAGTTTTTTTTGTTTACAGAATAGTAACATACAACAAAATCAGCAACTATTTGTTTTTTCTACTGCCTGAGTGTTCTGTGTGTTGGACAGAAGAAAGTTCATGGCAGAATGGAGCCTTGAAAAAGCTTCATTGCTTTATATTAAGAGTTTTAAAATACCCACAGATACTTCTTGGACACTAGCTAAACAGTTTAATCATTTCTTTATTTGAGTAAATAGGGGTTTCCATAGCTATGACTGAACTCCTATGTGAAACCCAAAATTTTGCTCCATTGCCACTATGCAGTTTTCTGATGGACTTGGTTCACAATGAGTATCTCTAAAATCCATGCTGCTTACAGGCCTAAGTGTAGGGTCAGTAACACAAGGTTGGGGTTTCATCTCCAGAAGGTTTCAAGCCGCAACTAATGGCACTGGGAGTTAATGATTGATTTTGGCATTATTTGGAAGTTACAAAACTGTGAAATAAAGCAATGTCACAGTGCTATTGCAGAAGAAGAGCTGCATATTTTGAAGGATCCTCATGCTGTACCTTTCTCTCTTTGTAGTGAAAGACAAAGCGGAAATACTTCTACAGGTTGATGAATCTCAAATTATCAAAAATGAATTGACCCTACAGGTAAGCATGTATTTCAAAGATGCTGCTTGTTTAAGGCAAAGGTAGAGGTGTGGGACAGAGCTGAATCAAAAACTTGTTTAAAGCAAAAAATATTACATTTTAACCTTAGCCCTGCAATATGTGTGTCAGAGCACATGTATTATGTAAATCTCCAGTATGACTCACTTAGAGCTGTTTCCAGAAAGCCGGTAGACCTTAGCCTGAAATGGTTTTGCCCTGAACAGCACCTTAAGTTTATAATTCCCTGGTAACCCAAGCTAGGAAGCTCAGAAGGGTGCTTCAGAAGATGCTTATTTCTGGAGTGTTTTTTGTTCTTTGGGCTTTTTTGTGGGTTTGGGGTTTTTTTTGTTTTGTTTTATTTTTTCCTAGTCTCAAGTTTTTGAACACAAGTGAGCTACAAATTGCCTATGACATGTCAGTTGGCTAGTGACTGTAGCAGAGAGCATGCAGAGCTTCCAGGTTTAGTTTTTGGTCTGCAGTGACTATTAGTTCTAAGCCCTTGACTTGTCCAAATGCCTTATGTATAAGATGGTACCATTCTGTGAGGGTGATGTAATAAGCTTACCTGTGTTGCATAATACAACATACAGTTAGATATTTTATGGAATGAACTAACTAATGCAGAGTTTAAAAGTCAGAAGAGTTCCTAACTTCCTAGCTTTTCTATACTATTACACTGGCAAACCAGTAAATGTTGCCTGGTAAAGAAAAATCAACAAAGAATATTTTACTTGTACTTTCAGTTCATGTACAATCATAGCAGTAGTCACTCTTGAACTCCTCATGTTTTGCCTCTTTGTCCAGCACAATACTAATGGAGAACAACATTGACTTGGTAAACTCACAGATGTTAAGGATACTTTATAAGTTAATATTCTGTATGTTTTAGGTAACGATACTTCATGCTGCATTAGAGCAAGAAAGATCCAAAGTGAAACTCCTGCAGGCAGAATTAACAAAATATCAGGTACTGTTGTTTTATATGTTTGTAGACATACCTGTGTTCAGTGTAGCTGTAACTCTTGTGAAGTAGCATGCTCTGAACCGACCCATTGGCTCTAATTATTCCAGTTAAATAAGTAGTTCATATTGTAGGGAAAAAAACAGTAGCAAAACTAAAGTGCAGTTATGGCAAGTTGAGGTCTGCCACCTGTTTTACATGGTATAAAGTTTTGTACTGTTTAAGTATGCTGGTCAGTAAATATACTTCAAGCAACAAATTGTTTCGTTATCTGTGTGTAACTGGACTAACTGTAAACTTCATTGCTTTTTTTGCCACATTCTTTCTTTGGTTCTGTATCTAAGTTCTGTCTTTGGCCAAATCTTTGTAGAAGATTCACAGCAAGTTGTGTTGAAATACAAGAGATAAGATCAGTGTTAACCTTGCTGACTGTGCATATGCTGTTTTGTTCAACTTGGCTGCTAATGCAGTGTTTAGTGTATTTCAGTCAACTTTTGCATAAATAGTATGCTGCTTAACCTTTTTATGGTTTTTGAAGAGTATTTGTGAATAAGGGTTTGTACATGTGCATGACTTGACACATTTTGGGGTGGGTTTTTTGCTTGATTGGTTTGACTGTGACCTTTTACATGAGTTAGAAGAAGACTAGCACATAATGGAACTTCTAACAGAGCCATGTAGTCTCTGGCAAGCAATCCTATTTCAAGTTGCAACACATTGTGTTGGAATAATATAATTCTGTGAAAATCAGCTCATCAAGCCATAATTACTCTTTCTGAAGCAACAAACCTTTTCACATTACATGGGGAAATTTATGTAATCTCTTGGGTTTTTTTCTGCTTTTTTCCACCTGTCACTTTAAAACAAGTGAGCAAGTTCCTTCTTAAAATTGTCTTGCAAGTGTTGACAAACATATATGCTTATTCAATTGCTTAGAGACAAGCTGAGAGCCTGTACCACTAAGTGAAACATCCTGTATCAAATTCAGTCATTCACAGTGTGCTCTTCTGACTTACAGCTTCAGACTTTGTTTTCCCCTCCCATTCATGCCTTTGCTAATGTTAAGTATTTGTCTTCTTAAATACAAATTTTTTAGTAAGACAAATTTATTTTGTAGTTAATTGTAATAAACAGGATTAATAGAATATAACTGCATCAAATTTACAAAAGAAGGTCTTTGATACATGCTTAATAATTACTGCAAAATTCTGTTACTCTTTTACCCCTGCCCTCCCCAGTCTAATGCTTTTTTCACATCTTCCTGTATTTCTTGTTTAATTCATAGCCTTGGATTTTTTTGTTTGGCTGGTTGGGATTTTACTTTTTAAAGTTTTTTTAAAATGTATTTTGTTTTAAGAAAACTGTCTTACCTGCCTTGCAGGAAATATTGGTTCTGCTTTTATTACACTTTTATGTAATCTTGCAGGTTAACCCTTCTTACATTTACTATTTTTTGTGGCATTGTCTTTGATAACAGGAGGCCTGCTTTTTTATGGCATACTGCTCTGAAACATAAGGATGCCTTTAAAAACAACCAAAACAAACAAGTAACTAAAATCTGTAGATTAAAAACAAAGAAGAAAAAAAAAAAAAAAAAACTGACAAAAAAGCACAATAAACCGTTTTTATCCGTAGGTGTCAACATCTCACTTATGCATCCTTTAAGTGCTTCTACTGTTTTAATTTATATAACAGTATTTCATGTGTATGGTCTGATATATAATCTAAATATTTGGTTTAATTCTTTCTTACAGAGTGGGAAAAAAGGGAAACGACACTCAGAATCTGACCAGTGCAGGTGATCTCCTCTGCCACCAGGATCAAAGCAAAAAAAACACAAATTCTTTCTTCAGGGTTTTGCAGAAATTTATATATTTGTTGTGCAACTGCTCAACTATGCAGTTTTTGAAGAGAAACTAACAGTTACTAGTTCAACAGTCTGAATAACTGATTTGTTGCACTTTCTGCTACAGAAAAATTAGAAAACTAGTATTCCAGAAGAGCTGAAACCAACTGAAATTCTATTAGTTTTTCATCATTCAATAAAGTTTACTCTTCCATTTCTGTGTTTGAATTCTTGCTTTCCATAATTTCTTAATTAAGAAGACTTAATTGAATATCAAAATCAAGATGCATTTGTATGCAAATAGTCCAAGTTTCTCCAAGTCAAAACTGAAAATGGGGTAGTTCATGCACAAGCATCTTGCTGGTTTTGAATTCAGGCAACAGTCATTATATCCTCTTCTTGGAGAACACCACACGGTTCAGCGATGCCAAATGCAACATCTTGCACGTGGGCTGGAGCAACCTCTGGCATCAGTATAGGCTGGGGAGGATTAGGGGATTGAGAGCAACCCTTCAGAGAAGGATTTGGGGTGTTGGTTGATGAGAAGCTCACCATGAGCCAGCAATGTGCGCTTGCAGCCCAGAAAGTAAACTGTGTCCTGGGCTGCATCAAAAGAAGCATGGCCAAGCAGCTCAAGGGAGGTGATTCTGCCCCTCTGCTCTGCTCTGGTGAGGCTCCACCTGAAGTATTGTGTCCAGTTAGGGAGCCTCCAACACAAGAAGGACATGGAGCTGCTGGAGTGGGTCCAGAGAAGGGCCATAAAGGTGAACCCAAGAGCTGGAGCACCTCTCCTATGGAGACAAGCTGAAAGATCTCAGATTGTTCAGCCTGGAAAAGAGAAGGCTCTGAGGAGATCCTGTTGCAGCTTTTCAGTATACAAAGGGGGCTTATAAGGAAAGAGGGACTTTTTAGTAGGGTCTGTGGAGACAGGACAAGGGGCAATGGTTCTGAACTGAAAGTGGGTCTATTTAGGTTGAGCATAAGGAAGAAAGAGACACTGGCACAGGTTGCCCAGTCGTGCATGCCCCATCCCTGGAAGTGTTCAAGGCCAGGTTGGAATGAGCCTCAAGCAACCTGGTCTAGTGGGAGGTGTCCCTGCCCATGCAGGGGATCTGGAACTGGACAGTCATTGATAGGTCCCTTCCAGCCCAAACCATTTTGTGATTCTGCAATTCTTAGATATGTATCCTTTTCATACCTACATGGCTTTCAGCTGCAAAATGCAGTTTCAGATGTGAGCAACACACATGTAAAACAGCTTTCCTACTTGTTAACTTTGAAAAGTACCCTGTGTCATCTAGCAATAAACAATTCCTCTCGTGTTACAAGACAGAGCTTAAACATGGTTTTGTCCCATGTTAATTGTTAGCAAATGCATTATGGCTGTAGAAGTGCAGAACTGTTTGTGTAGTACTGAATAGAGTAGAAACAAGATTTTACTTACTTTGGGATAGTTGTTGAAGTGGAACCTTACAGAAATACAAGTAGGAGCTGACTGACTGATTAGAAAATCTCTGTAATTTACCTGGGAAGCTGGCAGAAAACACAGAAGTTAGAGGAGAAAAAAGCAAAGAGATTAAGGAAGAGACAAAACAAAACAGCTGTAGATCTAAAATCAGAAAACTTTTCACTGTCTTTTTTTCAAATACACTGTAGCATTTAGCAATTTCCAAAGCAGACTTCACTGGGAGCCAGGAGACGGAAGTAGGACAAAAGCCTTTATCAACAAAGGTACTATGAATCTGTAAAGCTCTTACAGTTAGCAGTGAAAACTAATACCATGGTGATGCTAACAGTGGAGTAAGACTTTTCTAAGAAACTAGATATAGTCCATAATTTTTAAAATTTCATGATACTGGAACTGGTTTGGTTATCCTACTTTTTTTTATTCTTGGTTTTCTTGGGTTTTGAGGATTCTTTTTTATTTTTATTTTTTTGGGGGGTATGCTTTTGTTATTGCTAGGATTTTTTTTTTTTGTTGGTTGGTTGGTTTTTGTTTTGTGTTTGGTTTTGTTGTGGTTTTTTTTTTTTGGGGGGGGTAGTATTTTTTGTTTGTTGGTTGTTGTTGTTTTTCTGGCTGACAATCATTTCCAAATACCACGTCCTCAGGATGGGACTGATGCCGCTTTTTCAGTAGTGTGAACCCTGTGACCACACATAACTTGCAGCATCTTATCCTAACAGGTAGAATGCTACTAGGTGGAACAGAGTAATCTGTCGTGTTACTAGTCTGATTCAAAAGAAAATCCTCTTATTTAAGGATGTGGTATGTTTTTTCATTATTTGCTTCCCCACAGAAAATATTTACCAGAACACTGTGACTTTTTTCCTAATCAAATCAGTGGTGCCTATAAATTAATTTGTGACTTCTTTTCCAACATTCTTGTAAACAGTTTTTAATTACAAAATCCAGAATACATATTTTTCCAAATTCTCATCTGTCTCTTTCAAGGTGTCATTAAATTAAATCAAGTTTAGACACAGTAATTTGAATTTCTATTGGTTCAGCTGTCTAGAAGCCAAAACCCAAAAAACTAAATACCTGCTATCCTGTAAATTTGTCTTCCAAGTTTTAATCTGCCCATCTGTCTATACTTGACACAGGTTTTTTTCATTATTTTTTTTTTTTTTCTCTCAGGACTGCCAGTAACAGTTTCCCCTCCCTCCCTAAATACTGTAAAACTATCCTGTGTTGTTTCTTGTGCTATTGAGTTTGACATAAATGAAAATTAGTTTGTATAAGGCTTGCTTATTAACAAAATAAGGAATTCTATTGAAATGAAAAATAAGTATTCTAAAAGAGTGCATTTGTGTCCTCATAAAATGCTCATTTTGGTTTTAAGTGCTCAAGAAATAGACAAACCTTTGTAATTTGGGCAATGCTGAACACAGTGCCTGTTGTTCAACATAAATCTTTTCCTGTTCACCACTTGGTGTATTAGCCTGTCCAGTATAAATGCCACAGAAATTTGTCCATCAGCTGGTTTGTTCTCCACCATATTGCTCTTGTAATTTTTTGTATGAATCTTGAAGATAAATTACTGTATTTTCTCATATGTAGTTCCTTTTACTTTTTAAATAACTGACTGTTCACAAAGACAAAGCTCTTAGCTGTTGCAGTTTGTTTCAGGAGAGATACTTCCAGTATTCTTTCTTCTGAAAATTCAGCAATTGTCTTGCTATTACTTTCCTACAGTGAGTCATTTTAGACTGTGATTTTATACAACTTGGCAATAGCAATTCATTGTTATTAGCAAAACTGCTGCTCGAGCATTCACACACCATTTAGGGACTTGCACCTGCACAACACGAGGCTTCAACTGCTTGGACCGGAGTCCCTTCACAGCGGGTGGCTCCAGCGACCTGTCAGTGCCACTCCTGACTCCTTGCTCATGCACATTCTCCAGACCTTCCCCTTCCTGCAGGCTTGACCCTAGCTTCCTGGACCAGAGCCTCAGACATCAAACCTTATTTAGAAAAAAGAATTTATTCAGATGGTAAAGCTGGATAAAACAGCTCAAGCTGGGTGCCTCCTGAGAGGGACCGCTGGCAGACATCCCTGGACCATTGCACACTTACAGTCTCTGCATCACACACTCTCCATGTGCCCTTCTGGTGATTTCTGGTCTGCAGCCTTCTAACACCTTACTGGATTATTCTTCTGCCTCCAGACAGGCCATAAACAGCTCTTGCCTTGTCCAGCTGCAGCTCCTGCTGGTTTGTGCTTCTGGTGCACCAGCTTGCTGGAAGCACATCGGAAACTGAAAAGTCCTAGGCTGTGTGTAAACACAACTGCAACTGAAACATCACTGTGTTGTCAGTGTTATTCTCATATGAAATCCAAGGTTGGAAGGGATCTCGAAAGATCATCTAGTCCAACCCTCCTGCCAGAGCAGGAGCACCTAGAGCACATCACACAGGAACTCATCCAGGTGGGTTTTGAATGTCTGCAGTGAAGGAGACTCCACAGCCTCTGTGGGCAGCCTGTTCCAGGGCTCTGTCACTCTCACAGTAAAGATGTTTTTCCTGATCTTTACGTGGAACCTCCTATGCTCCAGTTTGCACCCATTGCCCCTTGTCCTATCACTGGTCATCACTGAAAAAAGCCTGGCTCTGTCCTCCTGACACTTGCCCTTCACATATTGTAAACATTAGATTAATAGAATCATAAAACCATTAAGGTTGGAAGGGACCTCTAAGATCATCAAGTTCCAACCCCCCTGCCATGAGCAGGGAACCCCACCGCTAGACCAGGTTGCACAAAACCTCATCCAACCTGGCCTTAAAAACCTCCAGGGATGGGGCATCAACAGCCTCCCTGGGCAACCCATTCCAGTTCCTCACCACCCTTATAGTGAAAAATTGCTTCCTAATATCTAACCTAAAACTCTCTTCTTTCAGCGTAAAACCATTACTCCTTGTTCTATCACTGTCTTCTCTGATGAAAAGCCCCTCCCCAGCTTTCCTGTAGGCCCCTTTCAAGTACTGGAAGGTGCTACAAGGTCTCGCTGGAGCCTTCTCTTCTCTGGGCTGAACAGCCCCAACTCCCTCAGCCTGTCTTCATAGCAGAGGTGCTCCACGTCCTTGATCATCTTGGTGGCCCTTCTCTGGGCCCTCTCCAACAGGTCTATATCTTTTCTGTACTGAGGGCACCAGAACTGTACACAGTGCTCCAGGTGGGGTCTCACCAGAGCAGAGCAGAGGGGCAGAATCCCCTCCCTGGCCCTGCCGGCCACACTTACTTTGATGCAGCCCAGGACACAACTGGCTCTCTGGGCTCCAGCACACACTGGTGACTCATGTTGAGCTTCTCATCTGCTACCACCCCCAAGTCCTTCTCATCAGGACTGTTCTCCAGCCATTCTCTCCCCAGTCTGTATTTGTGCCTGGGGTTGTGCCAACCCAGGTGCAGGACCCTGCACTTGGCCTTGTTGAACTTCATGAGGTTGGCACTGT